TCTGCACTCCCACCAACAATGGAGGAGGGTTCCTTTCTCCCCACAACCCCGCCAACATTTGTTATTGTGTGATTTCTTGATAGCAGCCATTCTTTGTGGGGTGAGGTGGAATCTCAGTGTTGTTTTCATCTGCATCTCTCGAATGACCAGTGATGTGGAACATTTTTTCATATATTTTCTTGCTGCTTTTACTTCTTTGTATGAGAAATGTCTCTTCATTTCGGATGCCCATTTTTGGATCGGGTCTTTATATTTGGGGGGACTGAAATTCTACTTCTTAATCCTGCCCATATTGTTGTTACTCAAGTGCCTACTGAGCAATTATCATGTGCCAAGTCCTATGTAGGCGCTGAAGGAGAAAGCTACCTTTTACCATGTCTTCCTTCCTTTCTTCCCTCTGTATTCCTTTTTTCAGACATTACTGTATTCACATGGTAAGTTGCATAAATAAGCAAGGAAGGATTAAGAACTCTTCATCCCTACTTTCAGAATAAGAATTTCTGTAGTTATAGCAAAATGGAGGTATTGTGGAAAACTATGCTCCAGTAAGATATGTTGAATAACTTTTTAAAAAGCTGCAAAAGGATAAATCAATATGTGGTAATTTACCTATAAGAAAGGGTTCCCTCCTTTTCCTCCTGCATATTCTGTGCCAAGAGCCCGAGATAAGTTGATGAGAGAGCTGGACTCAAGGCCTGGCATATGCGCAAGGGCCCTGGAAGAGTCATTTACTTCTATGGACACTTCTTCCTCATCTACATACCTATAAAACACAAGAAGGGTGACTAGCTCTGTGACTTTATGTTCTTTTTTAAAAATACCCATGTGTTTGACTATTCTAACACTTTAAGTTTGCCTTTAAAATTTGAGCTTTTTACTTTTTTTTCAGCTTTCCTTTATTTCAGGTATATTCTCCTGCCACAGTTGGCTTTCTAATTTTTTGGGTCATAGTCCTGCACTGAAAAAGGCTACTTTTCATGAACGCCTGTTTGAATGTCTACCATGTAAATTTACATTTATCTGAGTTCTAAAATGAAATCAAATCATAGCCAAGTGCGCACACACACAGGAATTATGAACCCATAAGCAAAAATACTGCTGCGCCTTTGGGTCAGTACCTTTACAAGTCAGTGTTCAATTAACTTTCAGTTCGAAGTTAACAATCTTCCACCTTCCATACCTTTTGTTGGAAGGAATCATTTTGCATAGCACACACATATATTTGGCCTATTTGAAAGCAGAGCACTATAATAATTTATCTGAAATTCTGCATGATACCTCTCTTTCCTCCATTCCTTTTCCTTCATTTAATTTTTTTTTTTTTTTTTTTTTTTTTTTTTTTTTGCTACCGGGGATCAAACTTGGGTTCTTGTGCTTGCAAGGCAAGCAGCAGAACCACTGAGCTAAATCCCCCAGCCCTAATCATTTACATTTTATCTGTACAGGCTCTGGTATATTTATTTTATATTTTGGGATAAAATTCTAGTCATTTTATTTGAACTCTTCCAGCTTTGGCCACTGGGAAATTAGCTGGCTCCTTTATGCCTGTGAAATAAATATCACTCTGAGCATTTCTTTACTTTACAGCACTATAAGGTACACCAGGCTCATGTGAATACTTCCTGACTCAGTCCTATAATCGGCCTTAAAACAAACAAACAAACAAACAAAACACCTTTGTTCTTTTTATTGGAGAAACCAAAATCTGAACACTAGGTATGTACATTTCCTTTGGGGCATTGTGCCTTCTAACCCAACTTGGATGATACATGTATATACTGAGAGGCATTTTTTACATTTATCTATAAATGTTTGTTTATGCAATCATCTGTATCTATGCTAAGCTAAACATGAGTTTTATACTGATGTTGTCAAATCTAATCTACCACATGGATCATTTTAGCATTTTTCTATTGCTTATCTGTAAACTTCAACAGTGAAAAAGCTGGTTCCTATCATCTGCCATCCATTTACTTAAATCATTTAATTCCAGTATGCAGGTACAGCAGTTAAGAATTCATACTCCCATGATAAACTTTATCAATTAGAGTACACTCCTTATATAGAATATCTTGCTTTTAATTTTACATAGTCCACCGATTTTGACCTAATAAGTATCTAACGTTACTTAATTTAGCACCTTCTCTTTATCCCTTTCAGTAATTTCACATATTTCAGACTCCTATCCACTCTGTATATATAAAGTTTAATGAGTTTTAGCCAATTCAGAGTATCATATATCCACAACTACAGATTCATATAGTTTCACTGCCCTAAGAAATATCCTGTACTTCAACCAATTCAATCCTTCATTTCTCTTGAACACCCAGCAACCATTAGTATTTTTATTGCTTTTTTTTGCCATTTACAGATTATATAATTAGAATCACATAGTATGCATCCTTTTCAGAGTGACATCTTTCACTAAGTAATATATGTGGTATTTATCCATGTCTTTTCATGGCTTACCAGCTATTTTTTAATTCTTTCATTTTCTGTAATATTAAAATTGTGTGGATGTTCCACTGTTTGTGTATCCATTCACTTACTGAACAAAGCAGGTCCAAACAGTCATAAGGGACAGGTATTAGGGCACATCCCTGTAATCGCAGCATTTGGGAGGCTGAGGCAGGAGGACTGCCATGAGTTTGAGGACAGCCTTGGTTACATAATGAGTTCAAAACCAGCCTGAACTACCAAGTGAGACAAAACAGTCGTAAGGATCATTTGTGTAAGCATTAAGTTTTCTAGTCGCACTAAAACTCATCTTAAATTTAGTAAGAAATTGCCATACTTTTATCCCAAAGTGGTTTTATGAGTTTTTCATTCCCAGAAGCAAAGAATGAAAGCATCTTTAGCTCCACGCATCTTCAGCATTTGTTGTTGTCAATGTTTTGGACATCAGCTGTTCTAACTAGTGTATAGTGCGATCTCACTATTATTTTATCTTACAAATCCTAAGGACAATTGCTGACCAACTTTTCACTTGCTCATTCGTCATCTGCATATCTTCTTTGATGAGGTGCCTATTTAGATCTCTACCCACTTTTAATTGGATTTTTTTATTGAGTCATAAACACGTACATATTCTAGATACAAATCCTTTACTAGATATGATTTTACGATCTTCCTCCCCCTTCTGTAGTTTGCTGTCACTTTCACGACAGCATCTTTGGAAGTTTTTAATTTTTATGAAGTTTATCTTTTTGTTTTTGTTCATGGTTTTTGGTGACAAATCTTCAAATGAACAAAGGAACAAATGAACAAACCCAAAATACTGCCTATCCCCAGTATCATGAAAACACATATTTTCTTCCAAGAATTACACAGTTTTATATTTTATATTTAGCCTTTAAATCATGAGTACATGTGTATTTGTGCTTTTTAAATTTCTTTCAACAATGATTTGTAGTATAATTTTACAATTTTTAAAAAACTGGTAATGGATACTGAACCCAGGGCTTTCACAATAAGCTATAACCCCAACCCTTTTCTAATTTTTTATTTTGACACAGGGTCTTGGCTAAGTGGCTTATTTGCCTGAGCTGGGCTTGAACTTGCAATTCTGCCTCAGCCTCTCAGGGATAGGATTACAGGCACGCCCCACCACATCTAACTACTTTTGTATTTCTTTGTTAAGTACATTCCTAATATTTTATTTATCTTGATTTTATGTAGAGGGAACTGATTTTTTTTTCTCTTCTAAACAATGCTGACTAGAAGTAGTGAGGAGAGATTCTTACCTTGTTCTTAATTCTAGAGGGAAAGCATCTAGTCTTTCACCATTAAGTATGACATCAGCTGTGGATTTTTCACATATGACATTTGTCAAGTTTAAGAGCATTCTTCTTTTCCTAGTTTCTTGGGAATTCTTAACATGAAAGGGTGCTGAATTTTGCCAAGTAACTTTTCTGTGTCTGTTAAGATGACTAAGTAGGTACATTTGAAAAAATTCTATTGCTACAGTGTATTGATTAAGAATCAATTTTTTTTTTTTTTTTTTTTTTTTTTGGTACCGGGGATCGAACTCTGGTCCTTGCGTTTGTGAGGCAGGCCACCAAACCGCTGAGCTAAATCCCCGGCCCTGAATCAATTTTTAAATGTTAAACCAAGTTTGTGTAACAAAATTTACCATTTTAGACATTTTTAGGTGTGTACATTAAATATGCTGGCATTGTATAACCATTACCACTAATTCCAGAAATTTTTCACTATAACAACTCTGTATTGGGCCAGGGATTTAGCTCAACGGTTCAGTGGCCTGCCTTGCAAGCGCAAGGCCCGAGTTCAATCCCCGGTACAAAAAAAAAGAATCCACAACTCAACTCTGTACTCATTAAGTAATAAACTCCTCATTCCTTTGGCCCTTGACAACCTCTGTTCCTTTGAGTCTTTACCTATTCTAGATACTTCATAAAGCAGAAATATATATATCATTTTTTATCCGATTTACTTCACTTAGAATCATGCTTTAAGATTCATCCATGTTGCAGGAAGCATCAGAATTCTATAGTTTTTATAGCTGAATATTTTAATGTATCTAATGTATGTTAGACCACATTTTGTTTATCCATTCATTCATGAATGGACACAGGTTAACTTCTACTCATTGGCTATTCATATCATACTGTTGCTGTCAAGCCTTTTGCCAATTTTTAATCATGTTGCTTGTTTTTTGTTCTTTAGTTGTAGTTCTTCATATATATTCTTCATATTACTTTCTTGTCAGATATGACATATAATTAATTTTTCTCATTTTGTAAGTTGTCTTTTCAATTTCTTTTTCTTTTTTTTTTTTTTTGAGACACGGTCTCACTATCTTTTCAATTTCTTGATGTATCTTCTGATACATGTTTTTATTTTTGGTGACTTCCAATTCATCAATTTCTTTTCTCTTTTACTGCCTTGCTTCTGGTGCATTTAAAATAATCACTGTGCAGTTAAAGGTCATACAGACTTGCCCTTGTATTTTCTTCTAAGAGTTTAATAGTTTTAACTCTTAGATCTTTGATCCATTTTGAGTTAATGCTTGTACATGGTGCAAGGTAAAGTTCCAATTAATTTTTTTCTTTTTTTCTTGCAGTATGAGGGATTGAACCCAGAGACTTAGCACTGAGCTACATCCCCAATATTTAAAAAACTTTTAACTTAGCCAGGCGTGGTGGCGTATACCTGTAGTCCCAGCACTCGGTAGGCTGAGGCAGGAGGATCACTGTGAGTTCAAGACTAGCCTGGCCTACATAGTGAGTTCCAGGTCAGTCCCAACTACATAGTGAGTCCCTGTCTCAAAACAAACAAAACAAACAAACAAAAAAAAACACTTTTAATTTAAGATGGGGTCTCATCAAGTCTATATGTCGCTGATGCTGTTTCTCAATTTGTGATTCTCCCACTCAGCCCCCTAGAATGCTAGGATTACAAGTGTGTGCCATCAGATCCAGCACCAAATTTTTATTTTAAAAAACAAATGTTTGGGCCAGGTACTTAGCTCAGTGGTTCTGTCACCTGCCTTGCAAGCTCAAGGTCCCAAGTTCGATCCCTGGTACCAAAAAACAAAAAACAAAAACAAAAAAAACCCAAATGTTTAAAATGTTTAAAAAATAAATTTAAGGGCTGGAAATGTGGTTCAGTGGTAAAGTGGCAGAACACATATAGGTCCTGGGCTCAATTCTTCCTCCCCTGCCAACACACAGAAAAAAATTAATTACAAACAACATTGAATTTTGATAGGACTTGCACTGAATATGTAGACTGTTCTGGGTAGTACTCCTATGAAAATTACATATGTCAGTGAATAACCACTTTATATCTTTTCATTTATTTACCTGCAGGGTCTCACTATACAGTGCAGGCTGGCCTTGAACTCACCATACCGTCCCATGCAGGCCTTGAACTTGTGGTAAACCTCCTGCCTCAGCCATCCATGCACCACTATGACCAGCGATTTTTTTTTTTTTTTTTAAACAGACAAGGTCTCACTATGTAACCCAAGCTGCCTCAGCCTCCTGAGTGCTGGAATTACAGGCGTACACCATCATGCCTGGCTAATGGTTTTTTAATAGGATCTTTAAGGTTAAAATAATGATGACTACTATACATTAAAATGTCCTGTCTTCAAGTTCCACTAACATTAGCTGTTTCAATGAGATATGAAGTTTCAGCCATTTCGTGGAAAAAGAATTAGTTTATTCTTAGACAACTTTGTGTAAAAAAAGACCAACCTCAGTTATCTAGTATTAAAATACCAAATTTTCTAAAACACCAGGTATTTCTAAAACTATTATCCTCAACCGATCTATTTTCTTT